TCTTAATAACTCTTATACAAAACAAAGCCAACTAATCTATGATGAAGCAATCCAACTCATCAACATTACAGGCACCATAAAAATTATAGACAAACAAGCTATATATATTACTAACATAGTAATTATTCCTACTATTGAATACAAATTACATAACATAATTTTCAAACATTCTACCTGTGACAAAATTCTATCCAAATATCTTATTATGATTAAACATAAAGCCAAACTTTCTTGCACTAGTCCTAATAGCACCATGCTAAAATTTCATATATATAATGTATATAATATTTGAAATATTTAGTTACAACATCATATATTCTGTTTTCAACAAAGAATTAACAACCCAGAAACACTTGGCATCTTGTTATGAAACTTTTTTGCCTTTCTTTGCATCTGTTTATAAGTATAAGTTAGTATAGCATAGTAATAAGGTTCAAAACCCTCATAAACGGTTTGCATAAATAAGTTAGTATAGCATAGCAATAGGGTTTGAAACCTCAGAATTAAGTATGAAACTCTGTAATGTGTAATTCATAGTTAGCATAATGTAGTAATAGGGTTCTAAACTCTAATATCAGGTTCAAGACCCTAATCTAGGGTTTCTAACCCCAGATACAGGTCTGAAACTCCAGCAGAGGGTTTGAGACCCAACTACTGAAATCTGTATAAATAGAGCATATGCCTAGTAAATAAAGCTTTAGTTGATTGCTAAGTTAGTAAATAAATATGGTATAAAATTGAGATTTTACTCATAGCCAAAGTGATAAGTGATAGTCCTGCATAGTATAGCCTAGTATTTGATCTTTAACTCTTATATTATTGTTTAGAAACTGACAACCTGTTAGAGTTAGGCATGTGACTTCTGTCGATTTATCAGCAATCCAGTAATTAGGACTACTCTGAACTAGTCTTGTCTGTCAGTTAGGAGCTAAGTTGAGGTCCTGTCTATACTTGTAGTACTGTACTAAACTGGCAACATATAAGGAAGACTCTTTCTAATTACAACACTTTGGTGCCAGTTATGTGGAAGAATACCAAAGTGGGTAAATGCCGAAAGGATGTATAACCAATCATAGATAATTACTGTGTATGTACAAGTAGTAGGAGTATTGAAAAAAGAAGAACATATACAAGTACTGTGGGTATGGATAGTGATAATAGAACAAAGAGTATAGAAAAATATGAAAAAACGTGATTAATGATTTAACTCTAGAAGACAGTAATCACAATTTCAGATGTATGAATAGAGGGAACACTCAGGAAAGTAGCAAACTCTCTAGTAATAAGAGCCTATTGGATAATCTGAACCTTTCAATAGACTATGAACAGCAATCAACTCCAGATCAACAAACAATGCAATTATTGCAACTCTTAGCAAATGTCTTAAAACTGTCTCGAGAGTCACAATTAGAATTAGATGAATGGAATGTAGTAAACTATTCTATGTTTAGTAGAAGAAACCAGAACCCTGTAAAATGGATTGAGTCGATTACACAAGTGTTTAATGCCAACAACATTCAAGAAGTCAGATGAATTGTAATAGCAAGTATGTACCTATCTGACCTTGCCATGCTGTGATGAGAAAGTTTGAGAAACCAGAGAATAGAAATACATTACTAGAATAATGAGACAATGGCAGGACAAAGTTTTGTACACCAGTTTTATCAAAACTTTTGTACTTCAGCTCTAATCAACCAGTAGAATACTGAAATACTAACAAAATGGCAACACGTAGAAGAAACAGTAGACCAATATGCTGTAGACATGTTGGTATTGTTCAATTGGTTTACTCGAGTTGGGAACCAGTACCCCAAATTAACCAAGGCACAAATGTTCGTTCAGAAACTTCGTCTAGACCTATTACTAGTTGTAGGACCATTTATGCCAAATATACTTCAGAAAGCTATCAACAGAGCATGAACATGTAAAATGACCTTTGCAAGAGGAATGTTGGTTTGTGGGCCAGCATTATACCATCAGCTAGCCTATGTGACCACCCAAGCACCCATGTTATCATTACACTAACTAATGATTCTGTGAACCAACTAGTCACACCTGCACAACCTCCGAATGCTTCAATAAAGCAAGTTATAATACTACTTCAAGAGGTGGCTATGGCAATAAGAAATAATGATAACAATAACAATAATTGGTTATATTCTCTACAAAATAGAAACCGACCTGATAAAATAAATCAGCCACCCATATGCTATGCTTGCCAACAAGTAGAACATTATGCCTGTGAATGTCTGACCAACAGTAATGTCAATAGTAATAGGAATGGTAATAATCTTCTAGTTCTGCCTCAGAATAATGCCTCTACAAATAATAATAGAATATTGGAAGAAACATCAAGAGCATAAGCAATGATAGTACAAATACAAGATGAATTCAAACATTTAAACTCGGAAGCACACCTTTAGAAGGTGAAAGTGTGCAACTAACCACAAACCCCTCTATTGCAAAGATAGAAGAAGCATACATGGCGAAAAGGAAACATGTTGATAAAGAACCTGCTGAACTAGAGCCTCTGCCTGAGAATAGTCGTAGTGGTGGAGACAATCAAGCAAGTAAACAAGCAAGTAATTAGAAAAGTGAGCAAGAAAACAGTAAAAAGGTTGTAAAAAGGAAGGTTATGAAGCCAATGGAACCTTCAGTAATAGTGAAAATCCAACTATATTTAATAATGACAGATCTGCAAAACAAAAAGGCTGACATAACATATACTTAGCTCTTTCAAGCAGCACCTAACATATGAAAGGAGGCATTAAAAGTGTTATATCCTAGAAGGGTGATGAAAGGAAAACTTGCTGAATTTTGTCTCAATAGGAGTAATGATTCATATATAACATCAATGTACTGTAATGCTCAAGTGAATGGTAAACCAAACATTCTAATCTTGAACAGTGGCTCCTCTGGTTGTGTTGTTTCCACTAGGTTCCTAAAGGATGTTGGCATAACGATTAATTGTCCATCTATAGTAATAATAACGGGCATATACAGCAAATAAAAAAAGCTACTAGGAGAGATTGCCGAATTTTCAGTAACTGTTGGAGGAAACACCATAATGTTCTGAGTAGTCATAACTGATGCCAGAAACTACACAGTAATCATAAGGAATGATTGGATGAGAAAGGCTTGAGCATGATTGGATTGGGAATCCTGTGAGTTAATGCTAAGAGATGGAAATGAAAGAATAAAGGTCTCAACTGAGTATTGTAAGCCAGCAAATGTTGGAGATCGAATAGCAAAGGTGGCCACAAATGAGAAGAGAAAAAAAGAAAATAAAGGAAGTGATTCAGAAATGATGAAGATGGTAAAGATGAGGATGAATCAGAATTTAGTAAAGAGAATAAGTATGAAGAAGAGGAAAAGTTGGTAAGTCAAACATATTTGTATTGCAGGTTCTATCCTATAAGGAGGAGACTGAAGTCATAGTAGGCTGTGCTTAAGTAGAGGACACTATGAATCGGAGTATATATGGAATGAAGTTGTGGATTGAAAAGCAAGACTACATACAGAAGAAAGGAAGACAGATGACTTCAAGCTAGGAAATATGACTTCAGATTAGTAGCATCAAATAAGAAAGGTATTAAGACAGTATGAGGACATTTTTATCTATGAACCTGATCAGCTAGGTAGAATATCTATTGTGCATCATGAAATTTATACAGAGGGAGGCCCCTCTATAAAGCAATAGTTTTACCCTATATCCAAGATGGAGCATGAGTTTATTGAGCAGGAAATAAAGAGAATAGAGAAAGCCAAGTAAATTCGTCCATCATGCAGTTCATAAGCACCTTCTGTCATATTGGTCAAGAAGAAAAATGGAAAAATAAGGCTGTGTGTTGACTTTAGGAAGCTGAATTAATGAATGAAACATGATAGCTACCCCCTTTTGAGAATTAATGAGTTATTGAGAGCCCTTAAGAACTCAACCTGATATACCACCCTGGACCTCGCCAGTAGATTTTGGCAGGCTGGAGTTTATCTATATGATTGTGAAAAGATGACCTTTATCACCAAATTCGGGCTATATAAATTTGTAGTGATGCTTTTTGGCCTAACAAATGCTCCTGCCATGTTCTAGTAATTAATGAATCACATATTTCAAAAAGAGATATGAAACTTTGTCTTGGCCTATATAGTTGATGTCAACATCTATTCCTCCAGTTTTGAAAAACACTTGAGCCATGTGAACATCATTTTTGGTAAACTGCACCAAGTGAATCTAAAGTTGAATCTGGACAAGTGTTATTTTGGACAAGACTAAATAAAGTTTCTGGGGCATGAAATCTCTGGCAAAGGTATAACCCCAACTGTAACAAAAGTAGCCGCTGTGAGTAACTTTCCTCAATTCAAGAACCTTCGTGCATTGAGAGGATTTCTAGGTTTGGCTGGCTTCTATTATCACTTCATTAAAGATTTCTCAAGTATAGCCATGCCTCTTTACAAACTATTGAAAATAGGAGAAAATTTTATCTAGAAGAAGAAGCAACAAGAAGCATTCGATGAATTAAAGAGTAGGCTCACTTCAGCTCCCATCCTTGCTCATCTTTGGAATGATGTTGGATTTGTTTTGTACACAGACACATCACACCTTGCTCTTGGTGCTGTTCTATCTCAGCCTGGTGATAATGGGCTTAAAGGTGTTATGGAGTATGCCAGTCAATCAATAAAGCCCACTGAGTGAAATTATATAATAACTGAGAGTGTACCACTATCATTTGGGCCATGAAGAAGTTTTACCAATACCTTCACGAATCCTAATTTACAATAGTGACCAATCATACAGCTTTGACCTACCTTAACAATATAGCTAACCCAACTGGCAGAATGGTGAGATATATTATGACTCTTCAGAGCTATGATTTTGTAGTAAAGTACCGACCTGGAAGGCAATTAGAGAACGTCGATAGGCTATCATAAGTAGAGAAGTCTGAGTGGAAAAAATAAATACAAAAAAAAAAAAAAAAAAAATTAATATAAATAATAACAAAAAAAAAAAAAAAAATAATAATAATAATAATAATAATAATAATATATATATATATATCTGTGCATAAATAAGTAATAATAAGTATAACATTAATAATAACACAGATGTAGTAGTTAAAGGTTGGCTATAACATTTATGTGCAGGGTCTGGGGCATATAAATCAATAGCCTAGTAAAAGTATTAACATAATAGGCTGCAAAACAATGTAACAACTAAAGAGGCACAAAAAAAAAACAAAAAAAAAATGATGAGCCAAGAGAGAGACCCAACTGCATATGAGTATTTTCAAGCTAGCTATCCTAAGGTAAATTGAATCAACCATCCAGAAACTACTCTTAACCAATTATAAGTAGATTCTTGACCCAAATCTGTAATCCAGTCCAGGTAATAGTGTTCTGGCATATATATATACAAAAAAAAAAAACTGACAGCTAAACAAATCCTTAAGATGAAACCCAAAAATTATACTAAACTGATTTAGTACCTAACTAAGTTAGAGCTGCCTAGGGAATATTCAAAGAAACAAAACTGAAGTTAAGGAATCAGTCTAGATATTATATTGTACAAAAAGAAGTGCTGTATTGGAAGAACTGTTGAGAGCCTGATCGACCTTTAAGGGTACTAAAGTATAAGAAAGTGAGAATGGTATTGAGAGCTTTACATGATGACCCCACATCTAGCCATTTAGGTGAAAGAGCAACAATAGAGAAAGCATGAAGATGGTATCATTAAAATCAAATGATAGAGTATATCAAAAGCTACATACAGAGTTGTGATGCCTATTAACATCATGGGAAACTAAAAACATAGAAGGCATTATACTCAATACAGGTGGCACAACTTTTTGACCAAGTAGGAATAGACATAGTGGAGCTCTTGCCTCTTATAAGAAATGGTAACAGGTACCTGATAGTAGCAATAGAGTATTTAACGAAATGGCCCAACGTTTGAGCATTATCTGACTATACGGTGGAGTCTGTTGCCACCTTCATGTTAGAAGACATAATTGGTCGACATGGCTGCCCTTGACAGATTTTGATAGATCAAGAGACTCATTTTAAAAACCAGGTTATAGAAGAGGCCTGTAACTGGGCCAGTATCAAGCACAAATTCTCGTTCATATATTACTCTCAAACCAATGGTCATGTTAAATGGTTCAATTGAACCATCTGTGAGGTGCTAGCAAAGTGCATAAGTCAGTACCAAGAGGACTGAGATGAATATATAAGCTCTGCTCTATTTGCTTGCAAGATGGCCAAGCATGCTATGACCAAATATGATCTCTTTTACCTGATGTATGGAAGAGAGGCTGTGTTATCTATAGAATTACTGCTAGAAACCTACTTCATGGATTCTATGAATGATAACTACTATGAGTTCATAGTTTTAGCCTGAACCTTAAAATTGATAAATGAACTGTTTAAAGTTCAGATCAAGGCACGTGAGAACATTCACAAGGCCCAACAAAAGCAGAAGTGGAGCTATAATTGACAATACCCTTTGCAAAGTTTCAGAATCAGAGATAAGGTGTTAAGGTATTGGGACAAACTAAAAAAACAATTAGGCAGTAAATTAAAGAAAAAGTAGTCAGAACCATATTGGGTACATGATGTAATAGGTAATGGTACATATCAATTATATATGATGAGAAATAACAAGAAAGTAATAAAAGAGGCAGTGCATGATAGTCAATTAAAATGTTACAAAGCATGAAATAACAATGAAATAAGGTAATGGTAAAATTATATATATATAAAAAAATATATATATATATATACAAAAAAAAAAAAAAAAGAGAAATGGAACAATGTTTCAAAACTTTAAGAAAAACGATCCAACAACTTGTGAACTGGATGAAACCTAATGAAGAGCTAGAGGTTAAGGAGGAGGAAGTGATCTTTTGATACCAGGATCAAGTGATTCACAAAGGGTTTAGATGAACAGAAAGAAGAACCAAGGTCTAGCAAATCTATAACCATTTGGCTCTGTATCTTCAAGACTTGGACCACCCCATAGGGACCAAACTTGCAATGCCTATCGAAGCTGCTAGAAAAACCTGAAGTGAAAAACTAAATAACGTGTGTAATGATATCAAAGACCTAAACCCAAGGACCCTATTGACAGCCAAGATATTAAAGACCTATTATAAAGTAGAAAGCTTGTTGTTTAAAAAGAGTTAGGATGATGAAGCATAAAGGGAGCTAGCTGAGTGACTTCCAGCCTCCAAAATAGGCTTAGTATAAAAAATTGCAAAGTGAGTATATATGTTGTTTGCCATACGGAGTAAGTAGTATATGTGTCAAGTTCAACATATATCAATTTCGGTGTTGGAGTGAATGTTGAAAGAAGATTTTTCTGAGGCGATATTGGCAGAAGCAGAAAGGTTAAGAGAGGAGGAAATTCAAAAAATAGTGGTGAGTTTGCAAGAGCTCACTCTTTGAGCAGAAGAAGATATTATGAAACTTTTTTGTCTTTTTTTGCATCTGTTTATAAGTATAAGTTAGTATAGCATAGTAATAGGGTTCGAAACTCTCATAAACGGTTTGCATAAATAAGTTAGTATAGCATAGCAATAGGGTTCGAAACCCTAAAGTAAGATATGAAACTCTGTAATGTGTAATTCATAGTTAGTATAATATAGTAATAGGGTTCTAAACTCCAATATTAGGTTCAAGACTCTAATCTAGAGTTCCTAACTCTGAGTATGGGTTTGAAACTCCAGCAGAGGGTTTGAGACCCAACCACTAAAATCTGTATAAATAGGGTGTATGTCCAGTAAATAAAGCTTTAGTTGATTGCTAAGTTAATAAATAAATATGGTATAAAATTGAGACCCTACTTATAGCCAAAGTGATAAGTGATAGTCCTGTGTAGTATAGCCTAGTATTTGATCTCTAACTCTCATATTATTGTTTAGAAACTAACAAACTGTTAGAGTTAGGCATGTGACTTCTGTTGACCTATCAGCAATCCAGTAATCAGGACCACCTTGGACTAGTCTTGTCTGTCAGTTAAAAGCTAAGTTGAGGCCCCGTCTATGCTTGTAGTACTGTGCTAAACTGGCAACATATAAGAAAGACTCTCCCTAACTACAATATATTTTTATAAAAATTAGATTATAGCAACTTCAAAACAATCTTTGGTCTGCTACTAATATTCTTCAACACAACTAACCACTTATTAATGAACCCAACAAACTTATACTTAACTTTAAAATTATACAACTTCTACAGCACTTGGGCATTTCAATTTTAGCAAATTCTAATGTCTTGTGATCTAACACAATTCATGATGGTTATTAACCATTAGAACCTATACTTTTTTTTTTTTCAGTATTAAGGTGACCTCTTTGGTCCAAGCTTTTTATTAATACTTATAGTGGGTACATGTTTTATATAGACATATCTATAATGAACTATTAGACAAATATACAACTGGCTACATGTATAACTTTTCTATATTATCTATTTAAGGAGTCTGCCCAAGGATTCTCTATCAGTTGTCATACTTAACACCTCTGCTTAGATGTGCTATTTAAACCTTCTAATCTAACTCTAGTATTAATTTCACTAGGACACAGACCCAGATCTATTCGCATTCAATCATAAGACTATAATCCTTAAACTATTTTTATCTTTGAGATAAACCTACCAGAGCAAGCCATATTCTCTTTTACTGCTAACCTGGTTTGATGCTATGGCCAAGACCAACACTTGCAGTTAGGATTATCATTTAAACTGCTATTATCCTTGTAAAGTTTATCCAAACTCTGATACTCATCTTTCTAACTTCTTTTCCATTATTTTTTACTAGCTGCAACTCAAAACTAACTAACTTTCCAGACTTCTAATTCAGATGGCCCAGTATAGTATACTTATGTATCCTTTTTTTTCAGCGATTCTGGTGGCCTGGTTGGTCATATGCTCCTCTATACATCTTTGTCATCTGGTCTATCCAACAGTTCTTATGAAGGTGTTTCATAGGCTTCCATCAGTCCAATGGCATTATCAAAAGTTTGTGCTATTTCTTTACTCGAAATTTCCAAGTAAGTTTCCATCTCTTCAGTTTCTTTGTCTTCTATGCCCATTGGTCTTATCGTGGGTTTGTACTGAAGTCTTATATAACACTAGTTTTTTCACATTTTTTTATGTACATATACTATATAATGTTACACTTTGCATAGATGTTCTGAGCTCCCAATGTTAAATGGGACCTAACTTGATATACTTAAGATTACAGATGCCCAAAACCCAACTGATCAGCAAGAGACAGTTATCATAACATAGGTATAATTTCCAAAATTCATTATCTATAAGAATTGAACCTTAGACCTGCCACTTGAAGGTTAACAACTTATCTACTTTACTAGGTTGCTACACCCTTTAGAACCTATACTTACCCAATACTCTAAATACAATATTTTTAGAAAACAATTTCAAAAAAACAATATACTCTATTTAGAACAATTATATACTGCAGACAACAGTATTCTACTCAAATAGCATTATCTTTTACTCAGACTTCATCATCTAATTAAAGGAAGACAATCTCTTTAGTTTACCTATCTTGAAGACACAATTTTGTCTGACAGACTATACTATCTAATTCTCTCTCATTTTCAACCATCTTGAGTTAATGCCTTTGCATATAATACTTCACCTATTAAAAAACAATTAAAACCATGATTACTTATATATAATAACAATAATGAAGAGATCATTATTGGCAAAATTTGCAAATATTTCCTAAACACAAATCAATTTTCTATTTCACACTGGAATGCTAATATCAA